TGTGTAGATATTTTGCCAAGTTATTTGTCAGTAAAGGGAAGCAGAGCTGTTTTTAACGGCTTATTTCTTATTTCTGTAATTTTTTCAGTGGCATTTTTTCTGTCTCCTACCCCATTCCCTCCACCACCTCCCCATTCTTGGAATCAAATGTATTTTTATTCTAGTCTCTCTCTCCAGATTGCAGCACCTTTTTCTCATCCCACACTTGACAGATGCAGGAGGAAAGCTAGTGTAAAAAGTAGGCCAGCATCCTCAGCAATTCTGCCCTTTTTCATCAAGATGTTCCTTGCTAAATCAATCCTTGCTATATCAGAGCAAAATTATTTTGTTTTATAAGTAAAGATTTAATTCTTAAAGTAATATTATTCTAATGAAGTCAGTCTGTGTATATGTGTATTGTGGAGTTTGGGGTGATGGCTATATGTATTTTTATCTCTAAAGTCTTAATGTGCTTTATTGTTATTATTATTACTATTTTGAGGCAGATTCTCACTCTGCCACCCAGGCTGGAGTGCAGTGGCACAATCTCGGCTCTCTGCCTCCTGGGTTCAAATGATTCTCATGCTTAAACTTCCTGAGTAGCTGGAATTATAGGCTAGTGATAATTATTCATTAAGAAGTATTAAGCAAGATATCATAATTATGTGTTTTTGTTTTTCCAAATTCATTTTTTAAAAAAGAAAGTGACAAGATACTTAGACCCTAAACTGGCTGACACTTTCAGTCTTTTCTCTTATTGGGCAACAGAATGGTACAATAATAAATAGCTGCCCAAAGAGCAAATAAACTTGTACTAGATCTATTTAGACAGACATTGTTGGATGTCCTCTTTTAATGGAAGTTGTCAGTGGTTCCTTTGTCAATGGGAGGTTGGACTATTACACCTTCAGTCTCTTCCAACATTGATGATCCTCTGGTCTTGTATGCTGGGACTTTTCCTACGTAGTGACATAGCCTCTACTGTGATGGGGGTCTGTTTTATCTTTCAATTCTTCAAATTCATAGTATGCTATACATGACAGGCAGTGTGTTACAATGCAAGGGTATATTTAAACAAATAAGATACAGTCAACCATTAAGGAAATAGGAACTTACTATAAGGTTGATGCATACAATAATAGAAGTAAGAAGAAGGTGTTAATCCGAATTATATGAAGTGGAAGGACCTAACCAAGCCAAATAGGGGCTTGTCAAAAAAAAAAGAGTCTAGCTTCCCTGAAGAGGTTAACTCCTGAACTGACTCTTTAAAGATGAGTAGACTTTAACCAGACATGCACAGGTTATGGTATTTCTTTCTAGGCAGAGGGAGGAACATATACAGAGGCTCTGAAAGAGGGCATGCTTTGTTTGGAGAACAGTAAGTAGTTTAGGGTAGCTGGAGGTTAGTCTGTGAATGGGGACTGGTAAGAGAAGCCAGATGAAGGAGGACTGTGTTTGCCATGCATTTAGACTTTGTCTTGAAGGTGGTGTGAAGCAATTGAAGGGTTTTAAAAGAGGGGATACATGGTCAGATTTGTGTTTTAGAACATGTTAGGATGGAGCTCTGTTAGAGGCAAAGAGACTAAAATACTTGAGTATCACTTATACTTGAGTATTTTGGTCTCTTTGCCTCTACAGAGCTCCATCCCAATATGTCTCTAAATTATTTAAAGCAATAATTTAAGGAAAAATGTCTCAGGATAGTAGGACTGAAACAGTTGGGGAGAGGGATGAATTCGAGAGCTACTAAGGACGTAAAATCAGGCCAGAGAAAGGCTGAGTGCAGGGATGATTTTCAGGTGTCTGGCTTGGCCAAGTAGGTAGCTGAGTAGTTGTCTTTGCTAAGACAAAGAAATTAAGAAGAAAGGAATCATACAGGGTTTTTTGTTTTTTTTGTGTGTGTGGGTTTTTTGTTTGTTTGTTTGTTTGGCTTTAGGATCATTTGGAGAGTGCCAACTTGAGTAAGGAGAGAGGTTTTTCATTTTCTTATACTTGTATTTGTGTATGGTCTTGTTTTTTATGTTTATTTATTTATTTACTTAACTTCTTTTTGAGACATAGTCTTGCTCTGTTGCCCAGGCTGGAGTGCAGTGACACAATCTCAGCCTACTGCAACCTCTGCCTCAGAAGAATTCAAGCAATTCTTCTGCCTCAGCCTCTTGAGTAGCTGGAATTACAGGTGTGTGCCTCCATGCCCAACTAATTTTTGTATTTTTTGTAGAGACGGGGTTTCACCATGTTGGCCAGGCTGGTCTCAAATTCAAATTCCTGACCTCGTGATCCACCTGTCTCAGCCTCCCAAAGTGCTGGGAGTACAGGCATGAGCCACTGTGCCCAGCCAATGTATGTTTTTAAAATGTGATTTAAAAGAATATAGCAGGATGTATTTTCTTTCTTTCTTTTTTTTTGTTGGACAGAGTTTCTCTCTTTCGCCTAGGCTGGAGTGAAGTGGCGCGATCTCGGCTCACTGCAACCTCTGCCCCCCAGGTTCAAGTGATTCTCCTGCCTCAGCCTCGAGTAGCTGGGATTACAGGTGCATGCCACCACGCCTGGCTAATTTTTGTATTTTTAATAGAAATGGGGTTTCACCATGTTGGCCAGGCTGGTCCCAAACTCTTGACCTCAGGTGATCCACCTGCCTTGGCCTCCCAAAGTGCTGGGATTATAGGCATGAGCCACCGTGCCTGGCAACAGGATATATTTTCAAGGAAGATTATGGAATTCTTTTTGGAAGTCTTGTACAGTAAGGTAGGCCTTCATTTAGGTAGTTTAGGAATAAGTGATCTGCTTAAATTCATTTTTAGAAAATCCAGAGGTTTTTACATTGCCAGTTCTCTGTCAGAATTTTTACCTTTAAAGATATATGGTAAGATTGGCTTGTTTGTGCAAACTAGCTAGTTTGGTGATAGTTCTGCTGTGGCATTATGGATTTTAAAATACAAAATGACTTTCCTCAGAATGAAACTTTGATTTCCAAGTCTTTATTGGTGACTTGTGGGAATTGATGTTCAATCCATTGCTATTTAACACTCCTGACGGAAAGGACAGCTTTTTATAGCTTTGTCACATCATTTTCTTGAGTTAAGATCACTTTTAGGCTAGTTGAGGTGTTTGCATCCTTCATGGAAAGAGTGAGACATGCTTCTTATGCTTCTTAACAGAAAATTGGAGGTATTAGTTTAAGATTTTGAGATTTTACTCTGCAAGGGAGTACTTATTATGTTTGTTGTTTTTTTGAATGTTCTATAATTTCTTCTCAGTTAGGTCTCCTTTCTCTGTAGTTTTGTGATTTCTACTGTACCTTTGACAGCATTCAAGAGGTAACTCTTCCAGTAACACAATAAAGAACTGACTATAACACTTTTTTTTTTTTTGAGACGGAGTCTTGCTCTGTCACCCAGGCTGGAGTGCAGTGGCGCGATCTCGGCTCACTGCAACCTCCGCCTTCCAGGTTCAAGCGATTCTCCTGTCAGCCTCCCAAGTAACTGGGATTACAGACGTGCACCAGCATGCCTGACTACTTTTTGTATTTTTAGTAGAGATGGGGTTTCGCCATGTTAACCAGGCTGGTCTCCAACTCCTGACCTCAAGTGATCCACCTGCCTCGGCCTCCCAAAGTGCTGGGATTACAGGGGCGAGCCACCACACCTGGCCAACACCTTTTAGTTACAAAGTTGATAATGAAACTTGTACCTTTGTCTTTTTTTTTTTTTTTATGTTGCTATGATGATTATCGATATGGAAAGGCATTCTGACGTCATACTGCTTGCAAGAAATTCTTCTGGCCGTGTGTGGTGGCTCACGCCTGTAATTCCAGCACTTAGAGAGGCTAAGGCGGGAGGATTGCTTTCACTCAGAAGTTTCAGACCAGCCTGAGCAACATAGCGAGACCTCATCTCTACTTTTAAAAAAAAAAAAGGCCAGGTGTGGTGGCACATGTCTCTGTAGCCCCAGTATTTGGGAGACTGAGGTGGGAGGATTGCTTGAGCCAGAGAGATATAGGTTGCAATGAGCTGTGATCACGCCACTACACTCTAGCCTTAGTGACAGAGTGAGACTGTCTGAAAAAAAAAAATGTTTTTTCTCTAGATTTAGTCCTAGTAGCACATTTTTTTTTTAAGTGTGCTTATTTATTTATTTACTTATTTTTGAGATACAGTCTCACTCTGTCACGTAGGCTGCGTGATCTCGGCTCACTGCAACTTCCACCTCCTGAGTTCAAGTGATTCTCCTGCCTCAGCCTCCTGAGTACCTGGGATTACAGGTGTGCGCCACCACACCTGGCTAATTTTTGTAGTTTTAGTAGAGACGGGGTTTTGCCATGTTGGCCAGGCTGGTCTTGAACTCCTGACCTCAAGTGATCTGCCCACCTCAGCCTCCCAAAGTGTTGGGATTACAGGCATGAGCCATTGCGCCTGGCTTTAAGTGTGTTTAAAGAAAACTATATTTTATTCTTCATGACATCTTTTATAAAAATGTGATTGTAATCCCTGCTTTGCTCATATGCTAATAATGAGGCCAAAAGATTCCTAAATTTTAGTGTTTCAGAATGATTTTTTTTCTTAATAAGTATACAGGTTTTTAGAAACTGTTAGCAGTCTATAATTTGGCCCACATGTACAAATTTCCATTTTCAGGTGTTGGAATGGATCTGAGAGGTAGATGGGTAGGGAGAATTTCTCATTGGTTTGTTATAACTAAAGTTCTTGAAAATTCTGAGGATAATATGTCTTCGAATCCTACTAGAAGTTATTGTTGTTCTTACAAGGACCAGTATTGTAGTTGTCTTTTCAAAACGTAAAATGATTTGTTTGTTTGAACTTAGTGTTACTCTAAGAGGAATTGTTCTAATCATTCATTTTCCCTTTACACTGTGGTTACATAATAATTATATATTGCTTAGATAAAAGCCAAAACCTTTAATTTTGGAAATTAGATTTTTGGTTAATGTGGTAATCCAAAGTTTAAATATGTAAGAAGGTAATATTTCTTTTAAATATTTTTTTTTCCTCTGTCTTCAGGCTGTAAAAATTAAAATGAACAAACTACGGCAAAGTTTTAGGAGAAAGAAGGATGTTTATGTTCCAGAGGCCAGTCGTCCACATCAGTGGCAGACAGATGAAGAAGGCGTTCGCACTGGAAAATGTAGCTTCCCAGTTAAGGTAAGAGCTGATGTTTCTATAAGTCTGTATGTGGAAAATAACTGACAATCTAGTGTATGTGAAATCTCATTAATAAGGACAATTAAGAGAACCCTCCAAAAATCAAATCCCTTCACAGTCTGCTTCAGTGATAGAATTAAATGAGAAAGAAAGGAAAATAGGCCGGGCACAGTGGCTCAAGCCTGTAATCCCAGCACTTTGGGAGGCTGAGACAGGTGGATCACGAGGTCAGGAGATCGAGACCATCCTGGCTAACACGGTGAAACCCCGTCTCTACTAAAAAATGCAAAAAATTAGCCGG